AAAGTGCGAAAAGTCTTTTATCTACATTGTTTTTTAGAATTTTAAAGACGTTAAGGTTTTCGTCGGTGTGGCAATCAGCCGTTTAGCTTAGTGGTTAAGGCGTCAGGCCGCGAATGCCGAAGACGTGGGTTCGATTCCCACAGCGGCTACAATCTTTTCACACTTTTTCTACAAATTTTAATGTTAATTCTTAAGTGCACAAGATTAGCACTATAAAACATTTAAATTTCAAAAAAGAGCTTGTTGACTAGACTATACTACGCACGACACTTATCGTGTTGCAATAGAAGTAAACACAATTTTAACATGATGTTGGAAAATTACGTTTAGGTTTAATTTTGCTACTTTTGTAGTTTTAAAGATGCACTGGTCATTTTATTTTTGTTACATGGATTTTAGAGTAACGATGTACGCATGCATCCCTATTGTTCCAGAATACGCGTACGCGGAAACCGGCAGCTGTTACAAGTTCCACGAGCTGCAGCGCACGTGGTCCCGTGCGTCCATGGTGTGCGCCGCCGAGGGTGGCCACCTGGTCGTCATAAACAGCGACCGCGAGGCCCAAGTGGTCAAGGACATCTTCGCGAAGCGCCCCGGTGAACTCGCCTTCGTCGGCGTCTACGATTGGAACGAGCACGGCGAGTGGCTGACCATCCATGGTAATCCACAAGTTTATATGTAAGACTTGCGTGAAGCGGCCATATGGGCAGAAAACTCTCCTATTCTACATGAAGGTTATGCTTTGACATGGATAACAACGAGATATATCACAATTATTTATTATTCATACGAACAACTTACCCTCGACACATTAAAGGCACACACTTAGAAACTTTGCCGATCGACGCACATAATTTAGTTATGTCAAGTTAAAGTGAGACCAAACAACTAGTCTCTAGTTTCCTCCTTTCTCAAAGAATTACCAATTTTACTTTGTTTTGTACTCAAGATCTCATTGTATACCTTTTTAACAATTTTACCCTGCTGTGTAAATGTCGCACAACTCACCAATTTACATCAACTATAAATTGTAAATGAAAAATCTGTTTTTATGCGATTCAAGAATTTGTCTAGACACATGACCTGCCGACCATGGTCTATATGTATGTCATATAATCAAGCAAGTGATAGTTATATATACTCGATGCAATCAGTTCAAATGAAATTATTATCAGTTGGCACATTTGGTAAGTTCCGCATCGCCAAAATTACTGTTGACCGCGTTTCACAGGCCAAACGCTAGCGGAGGCCGGTTACGACAAGTTCGCACCCGGCGAGCCCAACAATGCCTCCTCCAGCGGCGAGTTCTGCGCAGGTGTGTTCCGAACGGCGCTCTTCAACGACGTCCCGTGCGAGTACAAGTACTCGTTCATCTGCGAGAAGGGCCCCAACAGCCTGCTGTGTGACCCGTAGACCAATTTGTACCGATATTAATATTATTAGCGCTAACACGGCACCACAATGTATTGCTATGAAGGCTAAATAAATATTATCTTGTAGTGAAATTTCTTTACGCGCATCAAGCAACAAAAATGACTTACAGGGTGAAAAGACAGAACGCGTGACGTCATCACTTTGGAATGTTACGAGACTTTCGTTACGCTCCCCCTACTCCCACTCGTTTTTCTTCGTTGCTGAATACACTAATACCTACTACCCTCTTTCTTCCCTGAGTGTACGCCGTGCTGTCGTTTAATAAATATTGTTTATAACAATGCGGTTGCTCGTACTTTCACCTATTATAAATGAAAAAATGCTTACCTGTTACAGTAGCATGTTCACTGGTTTTTGAAAAATTCACCATTAGTATTTTTTTTCTTTTAAGTGTTGCCAGGGGTCGATTTTGAAAGTACCATAACTTAATTACACCGCAATCTAGTGAATTTTATTCGACTAAAAACCATGTAAAATTAACACACGACTATTTTTCCTTACAATGGGCAATTACTGTCAGTGGGCAATAACACCCTGGTTTACCCTACTTTGCGATTGAATCACTATATCTATTGCTGAGAACCGCATTAAAATCCGTTGCGTTGTTTAAAAGCTCTTATCGCACAAACATCAGGAGCGACTTTGTTGGCTACAACCTAAAAATATGTAAAGTTTAAAACTATTTAAAAGTTGTCTAAAATGGTTAAATACTTTAGTGCTATTCGAAATATATTTTTGCACTATGAAAGTATAAAAAGTTGCTTTTATGATTTTATATTGAAAAAGTGGCAAACGAGCCGGCGGTTCACCTGATGTTAAGTGATAGCCGCCGCCCACGGACATTTGCAACACCGGTTGCAGATGTGTTGACACCTTTTAATAACGTGGGCCTCGGCTACCTTACACGCCAGACGAAACGCAGAAGTGTAACACTTCTACTTTACGCCGGTCTTCTGTGAGGTCGTGGTACTAACCGGATGGACCTGCCCATTCGTGCAACGGCGAATACCACTGCGTGGTCCTCCTACCACAGTTAAATGAAGTAATAAGAATAATGTTTAAAACGAAGAAGTGTTTAAGTATAACTGTGTAAGAAGTAATTTTAATGAACGTGATTAAGAATTGGTGTGAGAGACGGATTAAACGTTAAGAGCGCTATAGGCAAGCATTTCTTACCCCCTACATTAAAGCTGTAAGGTACGACGGGCATGTAAACCCCAAAATCATGAAATTCCCTATATAATAATTTCTGGATAGGAGCCAAATATCCACTTTCGTCTCACGCAAGACATTCACATAGCATATTAATGATACTAGAAACAGAGCCGCGTCTCCAGCCGACTCTATCACCTAACCAACGCGTCAAGTGAAATGCCCTTAAGGTACAAATTTTTATTATATAAGGCCTGCGTAAGACCCATCATGTCCTACGCTTGCATGACCTATGCCCACACAAACCCTACTCGCGTGTACAAGTTGCAAATAGTACAAATTAATCATCATCAATTCGTCCGCCGCGCAACCGGTGCGCAGTGCTATCAATGCAACGTTGATCTGCACAGTGACTGCAGACTCCCGTTGATTCGCGAACATTTTAAAGATCTCACCATATGGTTCTTCGACAGAGCTGAACATCCCCTCTGGTGGTAAGCGTAGCAAATTACCAACCCGACTCTAACACAAACGTCTAGAAGCGTCGCCCGCGCAGTGTCCTCATCGACCTTAGGGGGGCTAATAAAACACTACACACTCAGTTAGTGCACCAACAAACACCATAGTTCGTCCTCGCCTTCGAGCACGGCGAAACCAATGCAACGCGTACACTAGGTACACCCGCGTTCTACTAACCAAGCACAATCAACGACCATCGGGGTTACGGTCTGCACCGAACCTCGAAAGTTTTACTCAGTCCCATGTGTTAAGTTTATCTTTTGTTATAAATTGAAGTAAATTGAGGTTTAAAGCAAAAACAATAGTTTTTATTGTGTAAGTCGGTGGCTTAATTACTGGCGCAACAAAATGCTTCTAAAATGAGGATTTTCAGAAGTTGTTTGTTTGTTCCATAATTATATTCATTTGTTTCTATTTGCCAGCTGCATTTCCATAAGGAATACAATATTTATATAAGATGACAGGCAGTAAGTGGTGATCCTATATATATTCATGTCAATATTTTTTTGCCGCCATTGTTGGTTGATGCTAGCACGTTCTCACTTTTTATAGGCTAAATGCTTTATAAAAATGAGAAATGCGTATCACCAACGTGCGAAGAAACCTGAATTATATTAATAAATTAACATAAACGATAATATAAAGTCGTAAAGCTCAGCCAGAGCACCGCACATTTTATGAGGGATAAATTAAATGAAAGCCATAAAGGTTGCGAGTAAATTAAATTGTTTATAACATAGAAAAGCCTAGAAAGCTTAGATTTTGCGTGTATTTTTTATTTCGTTGGATTTCATAATTGTAAAAGAAAACTGTCTTCGTTTTTGTATAGAAGTGTGCAAATCCAATGAAATGCTTATAGTCTCGTGATAGTACGGAAAACAATTATTAAGAGGTTTTGGATACGTATATAGAGTAAGAATAATGGTTGCTAACTTATTGGGATCAAATACGAAAATAAGAGCGAATATGAGCGCCGTGATAGCTCAGTGTCCGGGCGCTCGCCTTTAATTCTATATACTCGAGCAACCTGAGTTCGATCCCCGGTGCCGGCACCAATGAAGTTTTTAACTTTAAGTGCCGTCTTATCACGTGCTCCGCGGTGTAGGAAAACATCGTGAAGAAACCTTCATATTTTCGAAATACTAACAAAAAAAAATATTTCGAAGATATGTGAAGTCCGCCAATCCGCAGTGGGGCCGCGTGGTGGACTATGCCCTGATACCCTCTGTATAGAGGAGGCTTTGCCCAGCAGTGCGACATGTATAGGCTGTTACTTTACTTTTACTTACTTTACGAATATAATACATTTAATAATTAAACCTATGTTTTAAGCGTCTATGCGTATAAATATATTTTGAATTTGGAATTTGAATTTCCAGACCTAGTTCCTACTGATTTAAATATGTTTTCGTAATTTAAATAACTTTAGGGGGAAAAGTTCAAATCTGATGACGCGGTGAACATTGCCTTTAAGAGTTCACCCACCCCGTCCAAGCAAAGTAGTATTTTGTAGCAGGCATTATTGCTCCATTCGGGAGACCGTTCTAGAAATATCACAAACATCTACCCAGTGTACATCTACTACGCATGTAAATTATGTGACGAAATAAGTAAAGCTGTAATTGATATTAAAACTGGAAATAATACAAAATTTGGTCAACTTATCGAGCATGATAGAGCTAGGAGAGAATGCGATAGTTTAATCCATATAAAAAAAAATTAATTTAAATGCTTTTCTGGTTATAAAACGTCTGCCTACGCGATGTGTCGTCATCAATGTCTGTGGATTCCCGCCGTTCTTATCCCTGTGGTACGTTATCAGTTTTATAAACAAGAATATGTTATAAATTTAGAAGCTTTGCTGTTATCCAATCAGTTATACCGCGGAAATTAACATGTTCGCAAGTTTAACGTATTTCGTTTTGCTCTCATCTGTGGTGGTGTTGAGTGAGTATTCTTTATTCCTGTGAATTCTTAGAGTTTAGTTTGTTTTTGCATAAAAAATACTCTATTTTGGCCGTTGTAATGGATATATTGATCTGAGGATTTGTTTTAATTTAAAATGGGTATGCCGATAACTGATTTTTCTACATTACACAACTTTTATGTTGTATCAATTGCTAGGAAAATTTTGATAAAACAATAACAATATTCAATAAATGTTGAGATTTCACCAGAATTCAATACTATCCTCACCAAATGTACTACCAAGTTTTACTTGTACTATTTAATTTTAGTTGAGATCCTGTCTAAGAAAATTCATCATTAATTAATGATAATTTTCATAAAATAATTATGTTAATTTTATATGAGTACAAAATAATGCACAAACAAAACTTTAAAAAAAAAAGTTACTGGAATGTCGATGCTTAAATGGTTGGATAATAATTAAAAAAAATATAATTTCTAAAGTGTCCAAAAGGGCCACTATTGGACATTATAGAATTATTGAATATTTTATTGAATTCAATGGACTGCGAAGTGTTTTACTTGATGGTAAGTGAGCGTCATGGGCGTAGTGGCACCCACTAATATTTTTCATCTGGTTATCCTACGTACCAAAGGAATGGTAAAAGTCTAAACTTTATGTAAGACATAATTTTTACTTTAGTCTCCTGTAAGGCCGTGTTACAGGGAGCCGGCCTATTCATGAAACAGGAAATGTTAATTACTACTACTTTCACTACAACAGTAATAGTACATTTGGGAATATTCTACCAAAAGGTGTTGGTTGTTAACCTTTGGTAGATAAATTTGTTATTGTCAATTCTACAATAGATATAGAGATTGTTTCTTTCTGTTGGTCTATTGGTTATGAATCTGAAATGAATTATTATTATGGGGGTATGTTTTCTCGCCTGGTTGGGTACCCAACCAGACAGAAGCCCTTGGCAGTGGAGACTAAACGGCCGAGGGTCAGGGCGAAAGGGAGAGAAACCGGCGGACGATACGGGCGGTATCGAGGAGCAAATGCAGAATTTGAGCTTGAAGCGTTACGTCACGGAGTCCCAGTCGCCTCAGATGTTCGAAGAGGCTGACTGGGATTAGCCCATTCGCAGAAACGACTATTGGGATAATTTCGGTTGACACACCACCCCGCATTGTTATCATTATTATTATTTATCATCATCAAAATCGTTGTCATTCTGTATCAGCCTACTGCTGAGCATAGGCCTCATCCCTCTTGTGCCATTTACTACCTACTCTGTCTTATTGTAACGACATTGTTTTGTAGATGGCAAACAGTTTCGCTGCGACTACCGATATTTCCCGGACGCTCAGGGTTGGTTGAAATTACACCGGGTGCCGTCCAATTGGTTTGAAGCTCGTCTGAGATGCCACCTTGAAGGTGATTATGTCCTTTATGCTAAATCCGTGCTGAAAATATCGACATTTTTAACGATTCCCCTGATGGAAAGAAAGTACAGGAGTCATTACATTAGTATATATTATAGTATAGTATTCTTTAAAGTGAATTTATTTTATAATTTATTTTTGATTCTTTTTTGTTAGTCTATTCTTTGTATTTAATTTTTTATGAATTAGTTTGTTTGTTTATTAAACTTTGTCACAATATTGTAAATATTGTACACACCTGTCATAGGTGTACATATTAGGTCCAATGTTTTTTATTTTTTCCTTTTTTGTAAGTTATGTAAATATGTATACTGTTGGTGTATCTTAAATAAATTAAAAAAAAATTCTATGGTATTACGTAAAGTTTCTAAGTTAAACCCACTCAAGATCAAAATGGTATGAACTCTAGCTAATTTTGACATTTGCACATTCCCACCGTTTTCATATAAATTACACACACTGGGGTGGTCCCCATCATTTAACTCGTACTAATATTTGCCACAGGGGGCAACCTTGCCTCTCCCTTGAATATTGGCCTAAAGAACGCTATGAATATACTGATCGGCGAGGCGACAGGAGACATGACGTGCGGCGCCTTCACCGGCATCCACGCGTTCTTCTCAAAGGGAGACTTCCATTCGATCGAAGGTATGTCATTTTGAACAACACTATTCTTAGATTCATTTTTTTATTTTTCACTTTTGTTATAATTTTATATATGAGAAAACTTATCGAATAAGTTTTTAATATTAATCTTTAGCCGTGATAGCTCAGTGTCCGGGCGCTCGCCTTTAATTCAATATACTCGAGCAACCTGAGTTCGATCCCCGGTGCCGGTACCAATGAAGTTTTTAACTTTAAGTGCTGACTTATCACGTGCTCCGCGGTGAAGGAAAACATCGTGAGGAAACCTGCATATTTTAGAAATAATAACAAAAAAAAAGTCCGCCAATCCGCAGTGGGGCCGCGTGGTGGACTATGCCCTGATACCCTCTGTATAGAGGAGGCCTTTGCCCAGCAGTGGAACATGTATAGGCTATTACTTTACTTTTTATTATCTATTCATTTGTTTCATTTTATCTTATTCTTAAATCACCAGACGGTGTGAACCGTTGGTCGTGGACTGATTGTGAAAAATGTTTTTATTTCATTGTTTTACACTATATATATTTATTCTGTGGTAGGGCTACGCAGCAGCTTCTACTGTCGCACGGATGGGCAGGTTAGTCCGCGGAAGTACCACCTCATAGAAGACGAGTATGAAGTGGATGTATTATTCTTTCGCGTTTCGCCTGATGTGAGCGCCGACCGGGGCCCCTTTATAAATGTTTGCAACGCATCTGTAGCTTGTCAAATGTTGTAGATGTCCGTGAACGGCGGATATTACTTATCATCAGACCGCCCGCTCGTTTGCCAAATTTTTTAATAAAAACTTTAAAATTAAAATATCCTGCTGTTTATTGGCCAAATAATATATATGCAATATAATTACTACAACTTACCTAAACTTCTCGATTCTATAAAAATATCGCCACGAATATGACACTGGAAATGTTTACATTCCTCCGTCAATTGATAGATATTTGATAACCTTTGGTAAAGATGACATTATAACAAGTTTATTAATAGATTATAAATATACATTTCTATAATAAACCAAAGTAATGAAAATGTTTTCACACGCAATTCACTGTATTTTCTTACTTATCTGCTTTCGAGATGTCAAATCAATAATTTTTTGCCTTCACTTTGAAATTGACTGAACAGATTTTTTCAGCTCAGCGACTCTCTCAATTATTGCTCTAAATATGTAGATAACGCATAAAATCCAATTTTAAACATTCTCATAATATTATTATTACAACAAACTTTTTGCTTCACGCAACATGGCGTGTATCGTGGACGCCGATTGATCTTCATAAATATTCCTAAGTAGATGTCTGTTTCGTCTTTCGATTCTTAGTATTTTATTCGAATTAATGCAACATTATATGTTCAGAAGCCCCCTGTGAACGATGTGTTTATTTTATCTTCGCTTCACATTTGAGTTTTCCATTCTAATGGTTAACTGGTATTATAAGGCGTCCATGAACAAAATCCGACATTTTTCTTTGTTTTTTATGTGAAAATTTGAAAAGGGAACAGACGGTTCAACAGAGGGTTCAAGATGCGTTGGCAACCTTTTGAAAATGGGGTCCGGCTACCTCTCTCACCAGACGAAACGCGAAAGTATTAGTCATATTTTCACTTTACGCCGATCTTCTGTGAGGACGTTTTCTGTGTTACTTACCCGGACGGGCCTGCCCATTCGTGCAACAGTCGAGGCTGCTGCGTGGCCTTACCACCGTGGAAATTAATGCAACATGACTTGTTCAGGAGTCCCCTTATGGAAGATACCTCACACGTGGGCCGCCGGAGAACCTGACAACTACAAGGACCAGGAGAGCTGCATAGCTCTGTTGCCGGACGGTAACGTGGCAGACGTCGACTGCCATGAACCTTTGCCCTATATCTGCTATAAGAAGAACACCAAGACTATGGTTATGTCTGGTTGTGGCACAACTGATAATGGTAAATATTAATTTACATATTAATAATTTCCGATTTTTTTTATAGAAGAAGATGGGGTGATTATTGGTGACGGGGAATAGATTGGAATAATAAAAGACGGACTACTTTATGTTTTTTGAAAGAATGTGGCAAAGTACTCTAGACAATGGAGGATCATATTTTTTTCAAACAATTTTACATTTAACAACAAATAAAATATTCATTTGTTTTTCAAGAGTTTATCGAAAACTTAAGAAAATGTTGAGTACAATAGATTGAGATCAATTAAGTAGTTGTTTCCTAGCTATTTTCGTTCAATTTAAATCGTAACCAATTTATGAGCGTTATTGAAATTTAAGAAAGTTCGGTATTTGTAGTAACTTTATTTATTGGTGCGTTAAAAGTCTAGCGTGTTATTTTATCGGATATAATCCAGTTCGATATCCGGGCCGGGCAAGCGTTTTATTAATTCTTGGAAAACAGCTTGCTTTTTTTTTAAAATAAATGATTGTTTCGTTCCAGTTAATTTCAGCCAAATTAACTGGAAGGAAGGATAGAGGATCTTCAGCGTATAAAGGTCTTGGAGGGATTAAAAAATATCAACCTATATTCTCATATTTTCCGGTTGGCAATTTTAATTATAATTTGCCTTTTTCATTGGTTATTGACAGTCTGTGGAGGAGGCTTATATTCTACAGTGGACTCAAACAGGCTGAAAGGATGATGATGATGATGAAGTGTTATTTGCATTTGATTGTGGAGTAAAGTGATTATTTGCCATCCACATTATCATAAACAACTGCCTTAGCGACTTGGTTGGTGGTTAAAACTTCACACGAAAAAAATAATATTAGATATAGTACGTAAATGTTCCTATCATTAGGTCACGTTCGCCTTTATCTGAGTATTTTGTCAGCGCAGTCGACCTTGTGAAATAATTATTGGAATATCTAACATTACGCACCGATCTTTAAAATAATTAAATATTTTCCTAGTTTCTATATTAGAATCTGATAATAACTTCGATGTATTCGTTTTCCAGAGTACGTGTTTGATTCTGGTACGGGAAGTTGCTACAAGTTCCACACGGTGCCGCGCACGTGGTCACGCGCGTATATGGCGTGCGCGGCCGAGGGTGGCCATCTGGTCATCATAAACAGCGACCACGAGGCGAAAGTGGTCAGGGAACTGTTCGCGAAGCATCCCGGTGGCAGCATGCTGGGCCACTTCTGGAAGGATGTCGCCTTCGTCGGCTTCCACGATTGGAACGAGCACGGCGAGTGGCTGACTATTCATGGTAATCAAAAAGACTATTGTAAGAGCACCGTGTGGTGGTTATCTTGTCGGACAACATTATTCCAGTTTACGATTAATGCAATCTTTCTTTACGTATAACAGCAACTAAGAATCTCTCAGCGTTTATGTTTTCTGCGATATGGCGCTTTTTTGGTAAGGTTATCCGTATTTGGTTAGTATCATAAAGTTTGGAGGTACCAGTATGATAACATTCAATAGCAAAATCAAAATCATTTATTCATCGACATAAGAAAAATACATTTCATTGATCGATAGTAATTGTTTTTAATCTACCACTGTTTCGTAATGAGGTTCCTCTAACGGACAATATAATAAATAATAGCAATACTACAGGGAATACGGAAAATGCTTCGTGTTTTTTGGAGGTAAATTACTAATGGATGACTTAAAAAATCAAAATGATTGATGACATTACAAGAATTAATCTGAATTCTTTAGACTCGTTTCCGTGATTAGTAATTTAGTGTAAATTTATATTTATTCACAAAAATTGCTCTATTATCTATTTGCTAAACAAATTACACGGCCCTCAACCCAAGACTTTAAACAAAGAAGCAACTGTGATCAAATGCTTCTTCCTCTTCTTTCTCTTGCCCTCGTCCCACAGACGTGTGGCCTGCATTACACGTGAATCATGTTGTTAATGGGATTGGTTAGAACTTTTGCGAATTTTATCTATGGGTAAACAAAGTGTATGACGAGGCTTGGAGGATAAAATCACCTAATAAATTGACCCGATAAACTCTCCCGAATGTATCTGTTCAATTGAAATGGGACGGGCCGGTTACCACGTTTAATAACTTAGATTCTACCAAAACATCTTTTAACTCGATGCAACAGGCGAAACGCTCGCGGAGGCCGGCTACGCCAAGTTCTCCGGCGGCGAGCCCAACAATGCCACCACTGGCGAGTTCTGCGGAGCCGTGTACCGATCGGCGCTCTTCGACGACCTCTGGTGCGAGAACAAGTACGCGTTCATCTGCGAGAAGAGCCCCGACAGCCTGCTGTGCGACTAGTGATTCCAGTTCTTCATAGTATTCGTAGTGTTAAAAGCGTTTATAATATTACTTAGTATGCGCTATCTAACGCTAAATTCATAAATAATAATAATAATGAGTTTATTGGTTAAAAACATATTTAAAAGGTGTAATTATTTGAAATCCTGCAGCTTGTGTGTGTTCTAGAGTGTTCTGTCATCCGAGGCATCTTGGCTAACTCTAAGCAAGATTTTGACCACGAATATTAAATTTTGTTTAAAAAATAAGGAAAATAAAGATTAAGAGGTAAATCAAAAATCTGAATGTGATGCTATTTAAATAGCAGGCGATAATAAATCTGCAAGATTGTACCTAAAATACTCAAGTTAAAAATTTATTTAACGTGATGTTCTGCAAGGTAGTATATTGGTACCTCTTTTATTTTTAACGTTATCTAAATGACCCTTTTAATATTAAAAAAGAAAAAGACAGATTTATAAATAATAGATCAACGTTGCGATTGGAAAGAACAGTTATATCAAATCTGTATGCAATAAGTTATTTGTATATGCTTTGAAACGTGCAGGAAAAACTGTGTCGCAAATAGCTGCTCTTTGACTTTGTGTTTACCATGGTTGTATTTGTTCTATACGTGTTCGTACTATATACAATTTAGGGTATTGATATAATGCGAGATAACTTATTTAATGCGAGACCTTTTTATGTGAGAAGGTGGCAAGAGAGCTGGTGGTTCACCTAATGTTCATTGATAGCCGCCGCCCATTGACATTTGCTACACCGATAGGGTTGCAGATGCGTTGCCACCTTATAGTAAAGTGGGTCCCGAAGGCCTTCTTCTATCAGGCGTAACGCAGAGATATAACACTTCTACTTCAGGCTGTCCTTCTGTGAGGCTCGGACGGACCTGCTACACAAGTAATTTTAAATCACATAAAAATTATATTTTGTTACAAAATTAGCTATATAGTACCACGAGGCTTTGCTCGGTTTGTTTATGGTAAATCTTGTACTTTGGAAATAAAAAAATAAAGAAAGCAATGTGGTATAGAAAAAAAAGGGTAAAAATAAGTGTGTAAATGATCGTGATACGAACTGCGGCCGTCTGTTTTGGGGCCGCCCGATTACCGACCGAGCTATTATAACATTTTTTTTGCGGCGAAATTTACCGTCATATTCGAATGTTATTTTTCATTCCCTGAAAACAGGGATAAAAGGACATTTTCTAAAAATGAAACCTAGCTAGATCGATTTTTTCCCCCCGAATCTACGCACATACTAAATTTCATGAAAATCGCTGAAGCCGTTTCCGAGATTCCGATTATGTATACATATATATAAGAATTGCTCGTTTAAAGGATAAGATTTTTTCGCCTCGGTAGCGTGCGTCATAGATGAATAAGTAAGTATCGAAAAGTATTAGCAATGATTTTTATCAAATAAAACACTTGTTATTGGTCATAGTATCGCTATTTAAGGACGCCCTTAAGTAAGATCATCACTGAAATTGCTACTCACACGAGTTAGCACGTCATAACCGCGATTACTGCAGACTCAGCACGGCGAAGGCGCATCGAAGGAACGCTGACACCATTAGTTTTAGTTCATAAGTTTTTTGTAATTATAAATCAGTCCATTCCAAATTGTCATACAGTTAACACCTTGTAATTAATTAAATAAATCTTTTTTTATTGGAATACCGATCGCCGATTACTTAACTGGCGCAGTCGGTAGGATCGCAGCACTTTCGTATTGAATCAAATGTTCTATTACGATTGTGTCACGGTTCTCAAATCGTACCTTGAGCGATCCTAAAGAACCTCAATCGCGCGATCGGGCAAGGACTCGTCAGGAGATGCAGAAAACCCTGGGGTAAGTACTCTAGTTATCCAAGTGTTCCTGCTCTATTTCCTGTCTTATTTTAGGTATTTTTTTTTTATTATTGAGTGTGTATGTCTATAAGCTTTAATCGCAACAGACATTTCCCATTCTATTAGTATATTTATAATAATAAGATCAACAATAAATTCTTTAAATAAGAAGTTAAAATAAATACAACAAATTAAAATACATAATAAAATCAATAACTTTGTTTTAAAATTATCATCAGTTCGTTTGTCGGTTAGCTACAATCGCACGAGACATTCGATACTGTGAACGAACGCGAGCGTCATTCCATTGTTCATTAAACTCCTTAGAATCAGGAATTTACTGTGTAATACGTATCGCTATTGTTTTATGTTAACAGGAATCGTAAGTTAGTGAGTAATAATGCTTTTAAAAGATTTCAATACGCATTTTAAGTTGATAGTGGATTTAATGCCTCGATATGATGGGAATCCTAAACTATTAAGTCACTATATTCGCGAAGTCGAAAATATATTGAATTTATTGCTAGACGAACATGCTCGGACACACCCGTTAGTAAGTTGTCTTATTAAGAGTAGGCTTAGCGACAACGCTGTAGAAGCCTTAGCCTATGAGGAATATTTAGATACGTGGGAATCCATTAAAAATGCTCTTATTAGAGGACTCCGTCAACCGCGAAATGAGTTTCAGGTGATGCAAGAACTTACACATACTCGCCGTTCTAGACAGGAGGATTCCGAGAACTTTGGAAAACGGCTTAGAGAATTACTAGACACCTTACTCTTGATAGGCAGTCATAGCAACAAAAACTTCTATGAGAACATGGTCATAGAACAATATATTGATCAATTAGACTTCCATGTCTCATTCGGAGTAAGAATCGCTAAACCCGATACGTTAGAGCTGGCTATAATAGCGGCTAAACAGGAAGAGGCTAGGCTTGAATATAATAAAGACACTCATTTTAATACACTGTCAACGCAATTATACTCCAACGAAGGTGAGTATCAAAATAGTATTCAACCGGTCGACAGCGATGACTTCGATACTGATGTTTACTTTAACAAGCAAGACTCCAACCAGGTTTCTCCTTTGGAGGAGACAGGACGACCAGAGCTGGTAGAGATCAACTTCCAAGATAAAGACCACCACCCCTTCATCAAGCTACCTGAATTTCAAGGTAAATTTTTAGTAGATACAGGAACAAGTCACTCTACTATTTCACCCGATGTTATTCGTGATTCTAGCTTTGAACAGTGTGTAGATTATGAACCCTTTGAAATATCAACGGCACATACTGTTTCGCGTCATGATCATGTGGTCTATTTGCCCTTACCACCCGCGTTTAATAGCAATATTACGCATAAATTTTTAATTTTTGATTTCGATCCAAAATACAAAGGTCTAAGCGGATTTGACTTGTTGCGAAAATTAAAAAAGTAACATTGATTTCAATAATAACTCGTTACACACCTCAACAGCGGATATACCGATATATTTTAACTACCCATACCAAAAGCTTAAAGAAGAACCTAGATGCGAAAAGTTAATGACATTCAAGACCCATTACATAGAAGGAGAGTACTTATATCACGATTTCTATTGGTCTGATGGCTCAAAATCACCCGCGGCGATAGTTAACGTTAAGAACGGGACGTTTAGAACATCTGGTATTAACTTAAAAGTTGATAAAAAATATATTTCAAACAAAGCCCCTATTAGATTAGATATTTACTCTGAAAATTTAAATAGAAATAGTAGTTGTGAATTAAATTATATACAAAAAATAACTAACAAAGACAACCCCATTCAACATATTATGAAGTACGTGATCATAGGATACAATAACGCGATACATTTCGTAACAGACTATAAACCACATGAACTGCTATTTGATAACACAGAATCTCGAAATACCTTAGAAATGTTTAACCCGAAGGAATTCTACCAGGATTATGTACTCAATCACCGAATAAAAGTAAAAGCGATACAGGAGTGTATTGCAGCTTACATGTCCGGTAACATAGAACAGGTTATCGCGAGGGAAGAAGCCGAGATGCTGAAGAAGTATCTTTCAAGGTAAGTGAAATAGTATATAAGCAGGTGGCAAAGACAGCGCGGAATGACAGGACAAAGTCTGTCTTCAAAAGACCCTATAAGGTAATCCATCTACACCCCAATAGTATCGCAGAGATTTTATTTTTTTTATTTTATTTTTTATTTTTATTTTTAAAAGGCCTATCAACAACTGTTTACACTATATCTAATAAAAAAGGAAAGAAACAATAAGTACTTGTATAAGTGTAACAATAACTTAAAGATAAGCACAGAAAGTACAGTTAAACATCATAACAATAAATATAAAATTAAAAATATAAATAATGAAATAGTAAAAAATAAAAATGTAGCTTAAAATAAACAGCTGTAAAATAAATTAAATTCAATTATGGATGTTTATTACATAAGGTAAAATGTATATATTCAAATTTTAGAAAGTGAGGTATACATTATTTAAGAGACTTTGGCTATTGAGTCAACTTGAAAATCTATTTGATCGCTAAAAAGATTAATTGTTTTGCAAAATTTAATATAAGGAGAATTACTTCCCAGCACTGTTCTTCTTAGTGGTGTAATAGGTTTACGAGGGATTCTTATAGGTACTCGAAATTTAAGCAAATTCAATAGTTGTGGGTTATCAATTTTGTTATTTAATAGTTTACTCACAAACTTAGCATCAAGCACTTCTCTTCTATGAGATAAAGAGTTTACCTTGAAATAATTAAGTCTTTCTTCATAAGATCGTAGTTCTCTTGACTTACCCTCAGAAAACGCCAAATGCCACATAAACCATTTTTGAACTCTTTCTATACGTAATGAGTGCGTAGCGTAATGCGGCAGCCAGGCTACACTACAGTATTCAAGGATACTTCGGACTAGGCTATTGTAAAGCCATAATTTAGTTTTGAAATTACGAAAGGAATGACAATTTCTTACGATAAATCCTAACACATTTTCTAAATGTGCATTAAACGTTAACTTACTATCATAAATTACTCCAAGATCAAGTACAGTGTCTACTTCTTTGATTGCTGTATTGATTATGCGGTATATATGCGGAGATAATAGGTAGTCACCCAAATTCAAAGTCTATAAGAGTTCACTTCAAGTTACTACGTAGGCCTCGTCTTGTTCTCAAGATCCTCGTCGCAGGAACCATCAACCGCAAAAGTGACCCTGGATCCCATTAGTAATGATAACGGCGTACTATTACTCAAATAGGGACAGTTACTTAGACAGACCGAGTACTTTAGCCTAGCTTGTGTGTATGACATAACAAACAAAGTTAGCAACAATTAAATTAATTAAATTTAATGGCATTATATGCAAGCACTAAAGATGTTGAAAATACCTTAACATCTAATTATAGATATAAGTCCTACGAGGATCTAATATTATATAGTATAAGTTTAATAAATAAGAAGTTAGCATATTTGATTCCCCCAGTTAGAGTAAAACGCGGAATAATAAACGGATTAGGTACAATCGTAAAAACAATAACCGGCAACTTAGATAATGACGATGCCGTTAAATTCGAGAAAGAAATTTCAGATATAAGTAACAAGGTTAATAGAGTTCAAAATTCACAAAAGAAATCTTTAATATTAGCAAAAAGTATGATCAATGAATTCGGCAGTCAAATAAGTAAATTAGAGGAAAATCTGTAGTTTAGAGGAAATATGTAGTTAAGATATTGCAAAATATAACGCAAAACTCTAATGGAGTTAGGGACAGTTTACATTTATTAGATATATATTTACAGATAGACTTAAGTTTACAAATAATTTTAGAAAAGTTAATGACTTTGGAAGATGCCGTCACGTTCGCTCAATTAGGAACTATGCATCCAAGCGTTATTGGTCCACAAAATCTTATTAAAGAGTTAGTAATTTTGCGTAATCATTATTCAATGAATCCTGTAGATGAGATAAATATTATAAATATACATAAGATAGAGAAATCTATAAAGGTTAAAGCATATAGAACACCACACTCAATAAACTTTATCCTGGAAATCCCCTCTGTTGATTCAAAAATATACGATTTTATTCACCTTTACTCCGTTCCTGACCGCAACAACCTAACTATAATCCCGAAGTCCAAATACCTTGCACTTGGTAGCGATGAGTACGCCCACATCGAGGAAGAAGACTGCCAACCAATCACCGATGACACTCATCTCTGCAAATCCCTGGAAGTCAGAAGAATGAAAAACACACAAGATTGCATAGCGTCGCTAGTTCAACATCAGAAAGCCAATTGCACGTATGCCAAGCTGCACCTGACCAAAGGAAAAATCCAGAAAATCCGGGATAACAGCTGGATACTGATCCTGCAAGATGATGAAATTATCAAAATCCATTGTGGCACCAAGATAGACTACAAAAAGACGAAAGGAACGTTCATAGTCACACTGACTGAAGATTGTCGGATACATGTCCTGAATAGCACACTACACACTACCTGAGGACAGTCTCCAACGACGAAACCATCCCCCTTCCTGAGGCACAGCAAATCACGCAAGAACACATCAAGTTTGAATAAATTCAAGAGGATATCTCATTAGACAGCATCCACAAACTCATCAACAAGATAGATGACATAATCCCACAAGATGAATCCAACTGGACAACCCTGATGGCAACCCCCAGCTGGACAACTTTAATATTATACGGGCTGCTGAGTGTAGCGGCCATCTGGAAGCTGTACAAGTGGAAAAGCAATAGACTACCACAGGATAGCAACAGCAGCGAGGACGCTGCTAGAAGCTCCAACTCTCGCTTCTATCTTAAGGAGGGAGGAGTTAGCACGTCATAACCGCGATTACTGCAGACTCAGCACGGCGAAGGCGCATCGAAGGAACGCTGACACCATTAGTTTTAGTTCATAAGTTTTTGTAATTATAAATCAGTCCATTCCAAATTGTCATACAGTTAACACCTTGTAATTAATTAAATAAATCTTTTTTTATTGGAATACCGATCGCCGATTACTTAACTCACGCTTTAACTTATTAAACCAATTGTAAACAGTGGTACGGGATGGGGCTTTATTATCGAATCGAAGTCTATCATAGTTTTGTTGTTGAGTAAAGGCCCATTTACACGGTGCCAGTTTCTTGCCAGTTGTATACAATTAAATTGAAGCAATAAATGAGTTGCATGGTCTAAACAACAAATGGTCTTAACAATTATTGCGCGCAATTTATTGCATTCAATTATTGCTCTTGTATGTACAAGAAAATGGTATCGTGTAAATTGGCCTTAAAACCATAATGAACGTCGTAATAAATCATGGACCGAAAATTTTCTCGCGTCAATTTGAGTTTTGAGGTGTTACAAGAAATTTCGCCAATTCGCAAAAATAAATGGCAAATGAATGCAATATATCACTTTAAGTTACCAAAGAGTTTTATGTTAAAAATTAAAAAATAAAATAATATTATTATTTTTATTAATATAATGTAAGATTGTTGGCAAATACGTTGTTTTATTCAAAGTCACCCAATCATGTTGCTTATATGATACGTGTGCACATATGATGTGACACTTCTGTTCGCTCACATTCTATGTATGGTTTCCATACTTCAAACGCAACTATATACTCTGCTATGTCTTTCCTTAACATACATTCTATATCATCTGCAAATTCTTTCAAACAGCCCTTGATCTGCTATGGGTTCTTAAGTATAAAATGGTGAAAAATACAATTCAATACTATTACTTTTTTCATAAGATTCACTCAAAAATTTAAGGCTCAGGCAGAGATTTATTAATTATGCGGGGCCCCCTTTGACGCGGGGCCCGTAGCAATTGCTACCCTTGCTATATGGTAAATCCGGCACTGTATGTAATAACGTATATTGGAACAATTTTTATCTCGCCGTACAATATGGACGTGCCTCATCTTCAGTAAAACATCATTGGTTTTAGGACCATATTGATATGTCAACCTTATTTTTGCAAGTAAATTCTATTCTTTTCTATTGTATATCGCGTCTTCTAGTTTTTTTTATCTTATTACAATTTTTATCGCATTTGTGAAAACTTAGCATATAATTTCAATTTACCTTAAAAATATTTGCTTAGTCCAATTGTAGACTCTATTATTATTTGCTTATGTCATAACTAGGATCTTGGGAGTCCCGTATGGTGAGTAAGATCTTTTATAACTTATAAACTCTCCATTTAAGAGGATTTTCCTGTACATTAACCCTTTTTTTAATGTGGTAAGAAAGTGATTTTTGAAGTGAAACTTCTTTTTCGGGGTTGGAAAAAAATTTTGTGTAACATTTTTACGTTACGCGCCATCTTGTTGTTGTGGTTTTAATAGTTGACGCTAGATGGCGTTAGTTCCTTTGTGTGTTCATAACAATATATATATATATGTATATTAAAGTGATCAGCAAAATCAAAGGGTTTATTTTAATTCTAATTCTAAAATGTAAACAATATATTTCGTATTTCAGTTACCATAAGCCATTAATAACACAAATATATAATAACGACATCAATGATAGTAATAATTCTATTACAATTAATGAAATTCAATAATAATATTTGTAGTAATGACAGTGCTAGCTCTAATACTTCAGAGCACGACACTGTAGAGACTTCCTCTTCTCCAAAGGCAGGCACCGCCTACCGTGACCTGACTGCGCCTTCTACCGAAGACACAGTCGAATGTCTTCTACTCACTGGCTGACTATTCGGCAACGAAGGACCATGTACAAATTCAAAGCGGTTGTATTTTGGGTCTGTGAGGTTACGTTCACGTTGCAAGTTTTTTAATCAACAATTTTTGCGGACCCTCATACTAATTCCAACGGTCAAACCATAGTGTGTTTTAATTTACTACTAACGCCACCTATGTATTACAAATAAGAAACTAAATATTATACAAAGCTAAAATGAAATAATTGTAGAATTTGTATTCATGTCTATGATAATAAAAGCCTTTTAAAGTTAAATTAGATAAAGTTTAACTTTATCTAATTTAACTTTATTTAACCAATTTCTGTAAAGTTGCATATAGTAAATTATTTTTTGAAAAATAACGTCATAAAAAAGTTTCACTTCTTACGAGTGTACGCTAGTACACGCACACATTTTTTTTAATACACCTTCAGCGATACAATATTCTGGTGCCCCTTGACATTATGACTCTACGACATGGCAATGCATACTTTGACTGTGCCTGGCTGGCAAGAGTCCCCGAAAACCGACAACATCGCTTTCATTATTATTTGAATCGATTATCCTTGCTGTAAGAAAGTCGATGTCGTCACGATAATCGATTTTCTCCATTTTACAAACACTTCCAAATTGAGTTGCTTAGTCGTCAATAGTTAAAAACCAAATGATACAATTGTGAAAAAACATTATATTTTTAATAATTATGGGTTATTGAACGCGTGAAACCCTGAACGCGCCTGCAAATTCACACCTCTAAACCCGCCATTCCGCGAGCTTAAAAACGCACCTTCGTACATTAAAAGCCAGTACTGTGCATTTACGTAACGTACTTTATACGTGTGATTGAGACAGCAGATCTTGCCCCCAGAAGTGATGAGATAATGTAGGGCGAGATTATTTTTCCGCCTACTTACTACGAGCTTTTGGGTCATGTAACTTTAAAAGGTAAAGGAATTCTTATAAACCGGTGGTAACTTGCGTTCTGTGACTCCGAAGACTTGGCCCGAACAGGAATGAAAAACAGCATGATTTCAATTGATTTATTCAGTCTCCGCAGCGCTAGAGGGGTGGCGACGTGTTGGATGATCCGGTGGATGTGGGTTCACGAGTCGCACAGCAGGCTGTCGGGGCTCTTCTCGCAGATGAAAGCGTACTCTTTCTCGCACCAGAGGTCGTCGAAGAGCGCCGTTCGGTACACGGCGCCGCAGAACTCGCCGGTGGTGGAGTTGTTCGGCTCGCCGCCGGAGAACTTGGCGTAGCCGGCCTCCGAAAGCGTTTCGCCTGTGGCACCGAAGATGTTATACGGGGAGACTTTTATAAGATGCCCAAATTTACACAGGAGCATCAGACTCGGTAGTATAATCGTTTATTTAAAAATAAGTAAGTAATTTTTAAGATAAGTTCAAATGAATGTAATTAATTACTTAAGAGTGATTTAAAATATTTATATAACATTAATTTTTTATACAGCGTGTCGTTACCATCGCGACAATAAATGAACACACGTCTAACCCTACTTGCCAATAATCATAAAAAAATATTAACGTTAAACAAAATCCATAATAAAAAAAAACATTTTTCAAACAAACTAATTAAGTAAAATAGAAACAAAATTTGTAACATCCTATACAACTCGCGCCACAGCGTCGCATTACAAGCCTCTCCTTCTAACAGTATGTTTTGTCTCTTTTAAATTCATTCAACCCATTCATATGCTTTGTGACTTTTAGAAACGAACTTTACGTTACGCTTTTATAGGAAAGGATATTCTAAAGTTCTTTGTTTTGGAAAATTTAATAACTCTGTAAATATCGATGTTTAAAGAATTTAAATGTTTAATACAACTTTAAAAAGTTATCCCCTATATGTGTGTTCATTTATTGTCTAACTTCTGTCTGTATAACTTTAATTATATCTAGAATTTAATTTAAAAAAAAATGGATACACTTAGCAAATCCTAGTATACAAAAATACGAGGTAGTTATGACACCGGCGCACCGAAATTGAGGAATCAAATCTCCAATAATACCCATTTGACGTAATTAGACTGCAATTCTCTAGACTGCTATCTCTTTCCGTTATCATTCGTTCCATATCATCTGTCACATTCACTTATATATGTCATTTAAGCGGAACAATTTTTAAACGCCGCGCAGTATGGACATGCGTCATCCACATTATTAAACATCATTGTGTGGATCCGATTACATATAATAGAGTCCCGTTTTACCCTTTGAGTACGGAACCCCAAAAACATCTACATATGTGAAAAAGTAAAGAAGGTTAAACCCTACCATGAAGCAGGAGTTCTTATTAAATATTATCTAGAAACTATGCGACAATCCGGCAAATACAAGGCGTGGATTACCGTGGACGGTCAGCCACTCGCCGTGCTCGTTCCAATCATGGAAGCCGACGAACGCGACGTCCTGCCAGAAGTTGCCAACCATGCTGCCGGCGGGGTGCTTCGCGAAGATACTCCTCACAACTTTCGCCTCCTGCTCGCTGTTTATTATGACCAGGTGGCCACCCTCAGCGGTGCACGCCATGAACGCGCGCGACCACGTGCGAGGCACCGTGTGGAACTTGTAGCAACTTCCCGTACCAGAATCGAACACGTACTCTGGAATGATAGACGAAGGTTAAATGCTCCATCGCCACGTGAAGCGAAAACTTTGTGCGCCCTTTTTACGAAAATTGCTCCGACGGAGAGAGGAGGGCAGAATGCCAATATTTTTCTAAACTCATGCATATAAAAACATTAAACGACGACCCGAATTGCGTAGGGGGTAGTGTACCTGCCTCCTGCGTCAAAGGGTATGGGTTCGATCCCCACTACTGGAAAAATTTATCCATTATTTTGTTTATACACCTGTTCTTATAAGGTAATTCTCAAACTGCAATCATTCCTTAAGAGCACAATTTTTAGTAGTAACAAGTCCATATTTTTATGAACGAGAAACAAAACTGACTTCAAACACCTTGTTCTGTATTCATCTTAAAATTTTCAGGAGTTCCCTAAGCATCTCCGGAGTGCAAGATCCAATCCAATACCAATGAAATTAATGCTCCCATATTAATTTAACACGGGAAGCACCAGCTTTCAAATAAAAGAAGAATAAGCAAAATATGTTCACTCCGTCGTTTAAAGTTTGAGATAAAAAAAATACAGTCAAAATGAGAACTCCGGTTGAAAAATATATTAGGAAATACAAAAAGAAAGTTATATTTACCGCTATCGGTGGTACCACAGTTGGACATGACCATCGTCTTAGTGTTTTCCTTATAGCAGATGTAGGGCAAAGGATCATGGCAGTCAACGTCTGATACGCTACCGTCTGGCAGCAGTGCTATGCAGCTTTCCTGGTCATTGAAGTTGTCAGGTTCACCACTGGCCCATACATGTGGTATCTTCCACAGTGGGACACCTGAAGTGGTATTGCACTAACGTGGGATTGCTTTATAAAACCCAAATACACAGAATTAATTACCTATAAATATGGTCATGCTATGAGAAGAAAACTGAATTCGTTAAGTAAATTTATTTCATTAGAACATATTTTTACATATTGTTACTAAAAGTAGGTAGATAGCTCAAGCTATGGTATCTCAACGCGTCTAAAAAAAAAAAAAAAAATACACAAATTAAATTCACGTATCTAAATATGTATATCACATTAACTTTTTTTTTGTGCGTAAATATCTTGTGAACGGTCTAGTCCTCGTGAGAAGCCAAAAATAAATATATTCGGGGAAATTTTATTAAATGCAATAAAATTTTGTGCATCGAAATATATCACATTTAGTTTTATTTTTTCATTTGCGTAAATATGTTAAGAAAGGTAAGAAGCCATAAATACCTTCGATTGAATGGAAGTCTCCCTTTGAGAAGAACGCGTTGATGCCAGTGAAGACGCCAGGCGTCATGTCCCCTGTGGCTTCGTTGATCAGAATTTTCATAGCGGTCCGTAGGCTGATGTTCAGGGGAGAGGCGAGGTTACCCCCTATTTCGAGTATTAAATTTAAAATTCAAAATATCTTTATTCACATAGACGCTTTCGCGCTCTTATGAAATCGAAATTTTACATAGAAGTTAATACGTCCGTAAGTTACCACCGGTTCGGAAAGTAGTTTCTGTTGAGAAGAAACCGGTAAGAAACTCAACAGTTGCTCTTTATAAAAAAAGGTCAGTTTACAATATAATAGGACAGGTTATTTTAGCCTACGTGAATATCAACAGTATTAACTTGACATTGGCGTCGTCAAGACAATCCGCAAGATATAATATGCTTTAGTAATAAGTTTACTTTCAGTTTTTCGTTTAAATTGTACAAGTGGCAGATTTAATATCCACAGTGGGATTTTATTATATTTTATATTAGATTTTATTATATTATATTAACTCAAGATACAGAGAACGAGCCGTGATAGCTCAGTATTCGGGCGCTCGCCTTTAATAATAATAATAATAAACCGCCCGCATCGTCCGCCGGTTTCTCTCCCTATCGCCCTAACCCTCGGCCGTTTGGTCTCCCCTGCCGAGGGCTTCCGTCTGGTTGGGTCCTATTTATATATGTATTATATAAAATATTTTTATAAGTATGTTTATTTTTATCCATAATATTTATTTTATATATGCAATATGTATCTATATTTTTATTTATAAACCCAACCAGACGAGGAAACAAATAAATATCCCCCCATAATAATAATAATAAATATTCTTTATTGCACACCAAAATGCAAACAAAATACAAAACAAAACCTTAAAGTTTAAATGATAGGTACAATGGGCGGCCTTATTACTAAAAGTAATTTCTTCCAGGCAACAAAAGGTGTGGGTTAATTTAATGAAGGAATTAAATAATATCGTAACTACAATAAAAGAGAGAAAAATGAAAATAATAATAATAAGACAAACATGTTACTTAATAAGTATATTTATGTATCTGCATAAAGCTAACAATATATACATATAAATATACATATACAGACATACATATAGACATATAAATACATACATATAAACATATACATACATACGAATACATATATCATTTTTAAGATATACAGTTACAGCGATAAGTAGTGATTCTTTACACGGTTTTTGAAAGTAGTTATTGTCTGAGCGCGTCTTACTTCTAGAGGTAGATCATTCCAGAGTCGCGCACCCTGCACCATAAATGACCTACTCATGAACTTGGTTTTGTGTGTAGGAATTTTTAGCTCCAAATTTTCTGATGATCTCAGGGACTTAGAATGGGAATCGCGAAGAAATTGGAAACGTTCCTTTAGATAGGTAGGATATGAAGGATTGAACAGTATGTTGTAAACAAGAGAAAGTGTGTGAGCATACCGGCGAAGACGAATAGGTAGCCACTTGAGCTTAACACGGAAATGTGAGATATGATCATATTTGCGCAAGCCAAATATGAATCTTATGCAAAAAGTTTGAATTCGCTCTAGCTTATCAAGTAGCTCCTCAGTGAGATCAAAATCGACCGTATTAAAAGCATTACTAAAATCAAGCAGGGCAAGGACCGTTAGCTTGCCTTTTTCCATTCCCAATCTGATATCATCTGTAATATTTACTAATGCTGTCGCAGTGCTATGTCCACGACGGAAACCGGATTGTAAAGGATTTAAAATGGAATTATGGTGGAGGAAAGTGCTGAGCTGATTATAAACAGATGTTCAAGGACTTTGGATAAAAACGGCATTATAGATATGGGACGATAATCGGAAAAAGACGAAGGATTACGTTTTTTAGGAAGAGGGATGACTTGTGCATCTTTCCAATTAGATGGGAAGACACCCTCGGAGATAGAGATGATGTCAAGAATGGGGAGAATCATTTTTCGGCTAACACTGTCGGTGCCAACTGCATTTGAAGTTATAGAAAGAATACCCTTCCTAACATCACAAGCAGAGAATTGATTAAAAAGGTACGTAGTCTGGGGTTGGGATTGATGAAAGAATTTTTAATGTGTTATCTTTAACCGTTCCATCGAAGTTGGAAGAAGCGCAGAAATGTTGATTGAGTGAATCAATGTTTAAATCTTTGAGGACTATTTCATTCTGTGACTTGCCAATCCCCATTGACCTAAGAAATTTCCAGACTTTAGCTGGATCACCATTTTGGATAGATGAATGGATGTGTTGGCCTTTAATTCAATATACTCGAGCAACCTGAGTTCGATCCCCGGTGCCGGCACCAATGAAGTTTTTAAGTTTAAGTGCTGACTTATCACGTGCTCTGCGGTGAAGGAAAACATCGTGAGGAAACCTGCATATTTTCGAAATAATAACAAAAAAAAATATTTATTTCGAATATATGTGAAGTCCGCCAATCCGCAGTGGGGCCGTGCGGTGGACTATGCCCTGATACCCTCTGTATAGAGGAGGCCTTTGCCCAGCAGTGGGACATGTACAGGCTGTTACTTTACTTTTTTTTTACTTTTTACAGAGTATGAAATAGATTTCATAGATGAACAGACAATTTTAGTTTCCATTAAAATTATAATATTACAATTTTTAGATGCATCAATTTTGAGAAATCATTTCAATCGTACCCACATGATTTCCAGCAATGTCGAGGTTGCCCATGATTTCAAGTATTAACGTAGATACTGATAGGAAAATAATCGGTTCCTAGACGAGGGCGGTACAGCACTTATCCTACACAATCGACAAACGCGGTTCGAATGTAATGTCATGGTTGGACCGTTGCGTTGGCGCGAATTTGTACCGCTGTAATAGGAATTAAAAATAAATTATTTTTTGCTTATTGGGGCATTCGTCTACTTAGTGTGAAATTGATTTCATAATTGAACTTTGGTTTTTCTTAAACTTCATAATCCATCAATTTTGAGAAATAATTTCAATCGTGTACACAGGGTTTCCAAACATCACTATATTTCAAAATTTAGCTTCCGTATGTTTGTGTCCACAAAACTCTGTGAATGGATCGACTTGATATTCGTTCACAGCACAGCTGTTGAAAAGCAGAATGTTTACATTCCGAAGGTCCACCGGAAACAAAAAAAAAGACCATAGCAAACCGTGGCTCGGTTCAGCTAGTATATTAAGTAATTGCGTAATTAGCTGGTTACAAAATATAAACTCGGATACATTGATTCTAAAGGAAACAAGCAACGGGGAAAGTGATTTTGCAGGACGCAAACGAAAATGTTACCTTCGAGATGGCATCTTAGTCGGGCTTCGAACCAATTGGACGGTACGCGGTGCAACTTCAGCCATCCCTGAGTGTCCGGAAAGTATGTGTAGTCGCAGCGGAATTCCTTGCCATCTACCCAAAGAAAAGTCGTGAATGTATATTAAAATTTCAATTACATATGGCTACTCTCGTATTTATTTTTTTATAACTTATCTATTGATGTTATATAAATAGAGGTAGATATAACACTAGTGTCCCGAAACTGAGGCACTCAAATTATACCAATTGGTGTAATTACACCCAACTATAGGATTGCTATCTAATTAGATTTCATTTCTAAAGACATGTCATCCGTCACATTCATTCATACTCGTATATGGCATATAATGTAAAGCAAAACAATTTTTACTATAAGGCGTAGAGAAATTTGGTAGGAATATTCCTTTCGCCGAGTAGAGGTCAGCTAAGAACGGATTTTACGAAATGTTACCTGTTGGGTCCGCTAGTTATCTATATTAATGTGTCTGGTGTACATAAATTTGATTTTTGATTTTCAGCGGGTTATTAACATATTCTATATCTAGTTACAACTATTCACCGTTAAATTTGTAAGGTGTTATGCTAAGCACGAAACTATAAAATTTTTGAAACTATAAAAATAAACGGGTTGGTACCGATACACCGATACACTTAACATAGTCTATCTTTAGTCAGCCCTCGTTCCGCGAAACCCGAATTATATGACAGTTCACACTGCCCCTATTAGACAGGCGACTGACGGAGTCGACATCCAACTACTAAAGGTCGACATCAATGATGTTTTAATAAAGATGCCACCTGTCCATACTACTGAGTGTATTGAATTGCTTAAAATTACACCAATGGGTGTAATTTGAGAGCCTCAGTCCAAAAAAAAAACGAATGCCAAGTATTAAATATTTGAATATACAAGCTCTGTCCCGGATTCGAATTCGGAAAAAAATATCTTTTTTTCATACAATTTCGTTATTGAATATTTAATATCGGCATATCGGCTGAAATATTTAGATATTTAATAAAAAATCTCCATATTTTATCGGCATCCTCACTCCAGCAATGTAGTGAAACAGTTTGCCTGCCTCGGTTTTCCTGTCCAATTATAACGTATTCAAGGCAAGGTTGAAGAGGATGTTATTAAGCTATTTTATTTACTATCTAATATAACATCTTACTTACCATCAGGTGCAGTAGTCACTATTCGGTTTTTGGGCAAAAAACCCTAAATTTTAAACAATTGGGAACGGAATGATTCGCAAACTGTTTGACCGATGTAAATCTATAGTTTACATAGTCTAAGGATTAAGAATGGAAAGTGAAAACGCTACTGAAAAAAATAAAGTCAAACATATAAATCGTCAAATATAATTTAAAAAAAAAACTACCGTTACTTTGCTGAAATAGGTAGTACATACTACATACAAACATATAAATAGTGAAACGTAGTTAAAAAAAAAGCTACCGTTACTTTGCTGAAATAGTATATTAGTATGTAATACGAGTACGTGATATGAGTAAATAAATGTATGATATTATGAAATAAAAATGACTTGTATTAAGTAAAATGTATGAAGATTAACATTAAAAAAAAATTCTGATGGAAATGTTTTCGGGTACATCGTACATCATCTTTACTTGCATAATTTTATCTGTTATTACATATTCGGACTGAATTTTTTATCACTATGGATAGAGTGTGCATGCAAAAGTGATTTCATATTAATTTCAGTCTAGTCGAATCTCAACATGAATCAAATTGAAATGATTGTATCCAATTTTTCTTTCATTTATTAAATCAGAAACAGTTTGATAATGTATAAAAAACGACCATTATTACACAGTGAAAAGCGAAAAGTAATTTAATGTACCATTCCTTATGAAAACACATTCTTAATAGAATTTTATTATTTATTTCGAGAAACAAAATACTCACACAGCAACGCTACAGACGAGAGAAAAATAAAATATGTTAAGCTTGTTGACATAGCTCAGGCTGTGGCAACACTGATCGAATAATTACACCGCTTCGTTTATTTATACATTTACTTCTTTATGAATCTGACGACGTACCATATGCGTACAAAAAGGCACCCTTTATTACAATTAGCGTATCAATTATTGTATTAATATGCATGTTTAAAAGCGAGAGCAGTCTTTTGTGACCGACGAACTTACGCTATCTTATATTGAGTCATATTTTATAGAGGCTAGGAAACTCATACGGGGGTAGGGCCACGCAGCAGCCTCGACTGTTGCACGAATGGGCAGGCCCGTCCTGGTAAGTACCACGACTTCACAGAAGACTAACGTAAATTGGAAGTATGACAAATACTTTCGCGTTTCGTCTGGTGAGTGAGGTAGCCGGAGCCAAATTTTCAAAAGGTTGTCAACGCATCTGTAACCCTCGGGTGTAACAGATGTCCATGGGCGGCGGTATTCGCTTAACATCGGGTGACCCGTCTGCTCGTTTGGCAACTTTTCGCATAAAAAAAATGAGGGTCTTGCGCAGTGATATACTCGTAGGTATATATTGAAAGGGATCGCAGTCTCGCCTTAATTTTGCGACTGTTGACAAGAAATCAGATTCTACACTCGCTTGTAGAAACTTGAAAAACGAACTACGAAATTTGATAAACCAATGTTTGTCGGGAATATAATTGCACTAAACTTTAATGTTTTCCTTTGATTAAACTTGATTACTTCCATAATTTATCCCACTCGAACACAAGGTCGGATTGGGCTGTAGAAATGAGGTCCCGAGGAAAGATATGAAAATGGTGGATGCTACCTATAATATGTTTTTTTTAAGTTTGGTATGTATCAGTTGTGCTTACACCGTGAATAAAAGTTTCTTCTTCTTTCTTTTCTTTTTCTTAAATTAGTGATAATAATTAAAAATTGACAACTGTTTTTAATCGCTAATAATGCTTTTGATCATGCGTGTTCAACCATAAAAATAATAGTTAAAGGAAACGAATGAAAATTAATATTTCTACGGTGAATTATACGCGTTGAAGCGAGGCCAAATGCTTTTAAAGTTAATAGTCCTGTCGAATTTCACTTTATTAATTTTTTGTTGAATTAAATTATTTTCCTTTTCATTTTTTTAAAGAATTCAAGCTACAATTTAAGCACAAAACCCACAAAGTGGAGATCTCTTTGATAGCTAGGTCAATATGTATAATATAACGTGATAGGTAATGAGATTGTCGTCTCAAACTAGACCTAAACATTTTTAATCTTAAAGAAGGGGCACTGGAGCGTGTAACTATGATTCGTGTGTGCGACCTCCGACTTCATCGCGTGTCGACAGACCCAACCAATAGGTGATAGCAAAGTTGATGTTACGGTAAATAAAATGACAATATTAACTGTGGTATGGCCACGCAACCGACTCTGTGGGGTCGTGGTAGGGCCGCGTACCGACATCGCAAAGTACCCGCGTAAAGTGGAAGTGTCACACTTCTACATTTCGTCAGGTGAGTGAGGTAGCCGGACCCCACATTATTAAAATATGGCAACCCAACGCGGGGAAAGTAAAAAAGTGAAGGTCTGCTAAACGTCTGTGGAAAACGAAGGGAGAAATAGACAAAGAATTCTATCACTGCGGTAGGGCCAAGCAACAGCTTAGGCTATTGCACGAATGGGCAGGTCTGTCCGGGTAAGTACCACGACCACACGGAAGACCGGCGTGAACTGGAAGTGTCACATTTCTGCGTTTCGTCAGGTGAGTGAGGTAGCCGGAGGCCACATTTTTAAAACGCTGCAACCCTACGGGTGTTGCGGGTGCCCACGGGCGGAGGTTATCAGGTGAACCGCCAGCGCGCTTGCCAACTATCACATGAAAAAAATACCATACATAGTATATTATGGCAAACGAAAGTTGTTTCGCACGAAGGGGTAAGACCTTTAATTACCAAAAATGAAACAACAACGTGTATCAAAATAGAATTTATATTAAACCGTCACAAGTACATAAAATAAATCACCTAAACTAAAAACAAAACTCAAAATCATAAACAAAACCTTATAAACAATATATATCTAAAACGAAAATGTAAACTTTAAAGTTATAAGAAATTCATGTTTTAATGCCGCCCGTTTCAAAAGCAGCCTTAACGGTACCTGAAATTAAATACAATTAGTAATAATAATAATAATAATAACAACAAAATATCTTTATTCACATAGACGCTTGCGCGCTCTTATGAAACGTCAAAATTTTACAAGAAATTAACACGTTCGTAAGTTACCACCGGTTCGGAAAGCAGTTTCTGTTGAGAAGAAACCGGCAAGAAACTCAACAGTTGCTCTTTTTAAAATAATCAGTTTACTTTTAATTTTTCGTTTAAATTCATCAAGTGGCAGACTTAATATCGACCGTGGCATTTTATTATACATGCGCACACTTTGCCCCATGAACGACCTGTTTACTTTTTGTAGACGAAACAATGGCGTAGTTAGTTTGTCCTTTTTTCTAGTATTTAGTTTATGTCTGTCACTATTCTTTTGATAATTATTAATATTCTGTTTAACATACAAAATATTACAATAAATATATTGAGACGCAACAGTGAGTATATTAATCTCTTTAAAAAGATCTCTGATTGTATTCCGGGCTCCGATGTTATAAATTGCTCGGACAGCTCTTTTTTGAAGAATAAATATTGAATTTATATCAGATGCACTACCCCACAAGAAAATGCCGTACGACAAGATGCTGTGAAAATAACTGAAGTAAACAAGTCTGGCAGTGTCGAAGTCTGATAGCTGCCTAACCTTCCTAATTGCAAAAACAGCGGAGCTATTCGCAAGAGATGATAATGATAGATATGATATGATAATGATGATGATAGTCTTTTTTTGTTGGGGGAATTTTGTGTGAGAAGGTGGCAAGCTAGCTGAGGGTTCACCTGATGTTAAGTGATTGGCCGCCCATAGACATTTGCAACACCCGTAGGGTTGCATTTTTGTTGCCACATAATAAAATTGGACCCGGCTACCTCACTCACCTGATTCCCACTTCGCGCCGGTTTTGTGAGGTCGTGGTACTTCCCCGGACGGACTTGCCCATTCGTGCAACAGTGATGAATGTTGCGTGGCCCTACCACAGTAAAATCCCATAAATATGGTTTATACTAATCGTCTAGCCTCTCATAAAGACGTTACTTGTAGTAATTTACTGTTGTAGGGTCATGCGTTTAACGGTGGTAGGGCCACGCAGCAGCCTTGGCCGTTGCACGAATGGGCAGGCCCGTCCGGGTACGTACCACGACCTCACAGAAGACCAGCGTAAAATGGAAGTATGACAAATACTTTCGCGTTTCGTCTGGTGAGTGAGGTAGCCGGAGCCCAATTTTTAAAAGGTTGTCAACGCATCTGTAACCCTCGGGTGTAACAGATGTCCATGGGCGGCGGTATTCACTCACCATCAGGTGAACCGTCTGCTCGTTTGGCAACAATTCACATTAAAAAAATGCAGCTGCTTTCCCGCGGAAGTGCCAAATGAAAACCGGCGCGAACTGGGAGCATTATACTTTCACGTTTCGTGGGGTGAGGTGACAGAGATCTGTTTAAAAAATCTGCAAACTATCAAGTGTTATCCATGGACATCAGTAATGACTTAAACTCATTTGCTCCGTCTATTAGCCCGAAAATTTAAAAAAAAACAAACATGTCGAAGCGTTTTTTTTGCGTTAGCGTTAATTTTAAATTCGTACGTATAATTACTTGGTATTTCACAAATCAAAACAATGCACGGTTGAACATAAATATATTATAAATATTATAATATATTTATGTTCAACCTAATTACGTAATCTGTATTACCGTGATATTGTGACGAAAGAACCTATAAAATTACCTGCAAGTTATGGTTATAAAATTATTTAATTGTCGGTTAGGTCACTATGTCTGCGAAGTTGAAAAACAATCTTAATAGAAATGAAAAAACATATATTTCTGCACATATTAGTGTGTCGTTACAACCGCGACACTAAATGAACACACATATAGAGGATAACTTTTAAAAATTGTAGTAAACATTTACATTATTTAAATATCAATATTTACCGAGATATTAAATTTTCCAAAGCAAACAGTTTTAGAACATCCTTACGTATAAAACTGTAACGATATAAAAAGGTTACAAAGCATATAATTGGGTTGAATGAATTTAAAAGAGATAAAACACACTGTTGGAAGGAGAGATTTGTAATGTGACGCTGTGGCAACGAATGTAATAGTCTCTAAACGGATGTAATAGTCGGTAAAAGCATATTAAAGAAGAACGAAGACTAGACGAAGAAGATTTTAGAAAATTCAAAGCAGCCTATAAATGTCCCACTGATGGGCAAAGGCCTCCCCTGTAAAGAGGGTATCAGGGCATAGTCCACCAAACGACCCCACTGCGGATTGGCGGACCTCACATATTATCGAATTGTTTTATTATTTCGAAAATATGCAGGTTTCCTCACGATGTTTTCCTCCGCCGCCGAGCACGTGATAAGATTTTGGTACCGGCACCGGATATCGAATTCAGGTTGCTCGAGTAAACTGCATATACAGTTAGAAAGATTCGACAATTAACTGACGAAGCAACATCCAGATTAGTTTATTTTAGCTACTTTCATAGCATTATGTCTTATGGTATCCTGCTATGGGGCCGAGCTGCTGATATTGAATCCATCTTCATTTTGCAGAAGAGAGCTGTTACGGCAAATTATCAACTTCGCTGTAGGGACTCGCTTGAAAAAATATTTAAGAGGATAGAGATTTTGACGGTTCCATGTCAATATATATTTGCAAATATTATGTATGTTAGGAAAAATATCCATGACTTTATTAAATATTCTGATATTCATGTCCGTAATACAAGAAATAAGAATAATTTAGTTCTTCCTCGCTGTAGACTATTTAAGGTTAGGACTTCATTAGTGGGGCTCAGTGTGCGCTAGTACAACAAAATTCCTGATGATATTTTAAATCTACCGGACAAAAAGTTCAAAGTTATTGTAAAGCAGACACTGTTTAAAAAGCGTATTATAAGCTAGATGAGTATTTAAATGACAAAACTTCGTGTTCCGATACTCCTGCACGGCATGAGAGACATATATTATAAGACGTCCAAAGACGATTTGAAAAAATGTAACTTTGAATAAATGATTTTGATTTGATTTGATTGAAACACTGAGCTTTCACGGCATGGTAGTAGTAATAATAATAAATAATAATGATAGCTGTATAGGGGTACATTATCTAGTATAATTACTTTTTTTTAATTAATTTTATCGAGTATTCTTGTATAGGAAATATAACAGTCTTGTCACATTTTAACGATACTTCATCGCATCGCACATGCCCAAGTCCTATGTTTTAAGCCTACAATGAATGAGGAATATTATTTAAATTATTATGAAAATGTTATGTATCCCTTCACCTTGAGTTTGCAACTGGTTAACTGCGTGTATAGCTGGGAAATCCTCGACGTTATCACTGGACATAATTTTCTCTATATTTCGACATGTGCAGCCAGTAGCCTCTTCCGTCATCTCGTCGGCAATCTCCTGAACGATTTGGAAAGTTATCTAAAATATCTTAATAGAACGACTAACGTGGTCTTGGCTGAGGCACGAATGGGCGGGTCAGTCCGGGTAAGTACAACGACCTCACAGAAGATCAGCTTGAAGTAGAAGTGTTTCGTCTGGTGTGCGAGGTAGCCGGGACCCAGTAAAAAGGTGGCAACGCATCTGCAACCCTACGGCTATATACATACAGCGTGTCGTTACCACCGCGACAATGATTGAACACACATATAGAGGATAACTTTTTAAAATTGTATTAAAAATTTACATTATTTAAATATTTATATTTAAATATTTACCGAGTTATAAAATTTTACAAAACAAACATTTTTTGAACAGCCTTACGTATAAAACTGTAACGTAAGGTTCATTTGTAAAGGTCATAAAGCATATGAATGGGTTGAATGAATTTAAAAGAGACAAAACATACTGTTAGAAGGAGAGGCTTGTAATGCGACGCTGTGGCGCGAGTTGTATAGGATGTTACAAATTTTGTTTCTTTTTACTTAATTAGTTTGTATGAAAAATATTTTTTTTTATTATGGATTTTGTTTAACGTTAATATTTTTTTATGATTATTGGCAAGTAGCGTTAGACGTGTGTTCATTTATTGTCGCGATGGTAACGACACGCTGTATAACATTGAGTATTGGATAGGATATAACAATGGGTGGCGGTTATCACTTAATATCAGGTGAACCACCCGCTGGCTTGCCACCTTCTCTGTGTGGTGTTGAATGTTATTATTTTTATCGTATACGGCTGTATACATGCTAACTTGTTGGATGGTTGAATGACAAATATGGTTTTCTTTCTGAATTGTTACGAAATGTTTGTGATTTCCACTTATTTTTATTGAAATCAAATATGTATTCATAAACAATGTTCATCGAACCCCGAGCTCGTGGCATACTGTTGCGATGTATCAAAAGCGTGTGCTGTCAAATCGGGAGGAACTTCACCTACGAGCCGTTGTTGGTACCTTAGGTACGCGTTGTGTTGATCTCAACGTGCTCGTAAGCGAGGACGAACTAAGAGGTCATTTACACTATGTGTTTCATTTTCGAAGTAAATTTATTTTTTCAACGAGATGTGAGATTGAATTATAAAAGAAAATTTATTTGCTAACAGTGATGCCGTTAGATTTGGGCAATTCCAATCTCACCGTGTCCCGGGCTCCACATGAGTGGGGTGTGCGGTCGATGAGCTTCAGGAACTCGACACACCTCTCCTGCACCTCAGCTGTGTCCTCTGGACGCGGGCTGAAGTCTAAAACGACGCGGTGTGGCCGCAATGGCTCCCCGCTCGATTTGCCAGCGTCGATTGTCGGCGAGTCAAGCCACTAGCGATACAGTACTACAATTCACTCGCTATAAAATGTATCTACACTCATTTAGAGCGTGAGAGCTGTACTAACTAAAGTAAGCAAAGTATTGTTTTCTTGATTTTACGCTAATAATATACATATTAAATGAAACTACTTTACGGATTTAATCGCGTTTTTTATTTTGATTTAAATTCCCGACGTTTCGAACCCTTTCCAGCGTTCATGGTCACGGGACAGACGCGATAAGATCCCTAAAGTAGTTTCATTTAATATGTAAGCAAAGTAGCTAAGTAGCTAACGCTAAGTAGCTGTTTAGACGATTGATGACTCCGTGGCGCAGTTGCTAAGCTATTAGCTTTTGAGTCGGGGTTCGATTGTCACACAGGCACAAGTATTTGTGTGACCAAAGATAATTGTGCCGGATCCGGGTGTTTGTTTCCCAACGAGGGTTGACGTTAGTCAGGCGGTAGGTTGTAAAAAATAGCCAAAACAGCGTTATAACGTGATTGACATGTTTTGCCGACCCTAGAATGATGTTAGTTAGACGCGCGTCGCAGATCATACGCACCTCTTGCGACCAGGAAATGAAATGACCGCAAACAGACATTTCATTTCCGGTACAATGTAGATTGGGAATGAAATCATTACGGACATGGAATTGAGGGCCGAGACGCGAGAAAATCTATTATATAATGCCTCAGTATTTGCAAGAACCGTGGCCAATCGTGGGCTATGCTACTTAGAAGTCTAGGTTATCATTAGTTAAAAAAAACACGACCAGTTCCGTGGTATACAAGACAAAGAATACGATGTCTTGGGGTCCTGTATACTGTACCAGAAATTCTCTGTTAGTTGACCAATCGTTGGCTATGCTACTTAGCAGTCTAGGTTATCATAAGTTAAAAAAACCACGATCTTTGAACATATTTGAAACCACGATCAGTTCTGTGGTTTAGTACAAGAAAAAGGATACGATGTCTTGGGGTCCTGTACCTGAAATTCTCTGTTAGTGGACTTGTGGGATGAGGTCGTACAACTCGAATCCCTGACGAACATTGCCTCGCAGCACGAACAGCAAAAATTGGTCATGGACAATGTCAACCAATCCGAAACCACCTGGGCATTCTTCCACAATCTCACGAGACTACAGGTAATAGGGTGGAATGTGTACGGCGTCAAGCTGATCATTAATTTGATGCTTCGGGTAAATAAAATGTGCTCAAAAAACATATGTCATTATAAAAGTTGACAAGCCCCATATATAATAGACAAGTGTCGAGGAAAACATAAACAATTATGTTACCTGCGTTTGTTTTCCTATATTTGAAGAAGAATTATAACTACCTAGGCATATTTTGGAATTGTTAAATTAACAGTATCCGCAACTATAACGATAGCAAATCATGAATCGATTATCTCTATTCGCAGTGGATTTAATCGCAAACGAGACAAGTTTATTAACGAAAAAAAAAACAGACTTCGCTCTGGATAAATTTTATTTTCAGGAGTTAGCTAAGTATTTCCGGGCACCCAGATCCAATATCAATGAAACTAATATAGGAGGAACACATGGGAAAAACCAGCTTTCAAATAAAAAAATGAGGTAATAAACATACAAAAAATACAATAGAATTGAATACCACCTCCTTTTTTAAGTCGGTTAAAAAGACTTAAAAGTTGAAATGTTTTGTAATTTTCTTTTTGCAGGTTTTTTGCCAGTTGCATTTCCTCGCTGAGTTATGTTTTACCTTTGAGCGAGAAAAGAGCCGGCACCCTGGTCACCAGAAGCACCGATAAGTCTAGGACGTAAACCTTTCAAAAACTTCAATGTCCGGGGACCCCACAGATCTAGTTTCAACAGCAAATGGCACAAATAAATAATCTGAAGAAAGAGACTTTTTGTTACTGTAAATTGACTGACTGACACATAATAAACACCTGCTATGGTTATTAACACGTTGGCAGTAATTTGCTTCAGTGCTTTAAATTAGGTCACCACAGATACAAATAACAGTTACGAGAATTGGAGGGATTTGTTTATTCTTATCGAGCGGTGCCCAAACTTATGAACTATACATTTATTTTTATTATATAGAAACATGTTTGCTGTATATAAAAGTATCATGAATGTCATTAGAAATGCAACAAGTAAAGCATCATTTAAGAAAATGCTGCGATGTCACTATGCCAATTCTGCCGATTGTTAGAGTTACTACGTTATCCTTTGTATTTACGTAAGCATCTGTATATATATGTCTATATATATATATATATATATATATATATATATATATAGGTATTGGAATATATATGTACTTAATAGTTTATAGTATGCATGTTTGCATTTAGTATATGTATGAAATATGTTTGTTGTTATTTTATCTTTTCAAAATAGAGTTTCGGACTTTGTTTTGCACCTACGTCAAATTTTTCACTACTCCCAGGGTTGACTGGAAGAGAATGCTTATTAGCATTAAGTTTGCCTTTTGTTTGACCTTATTTTGGGGTGTAAGCAATAAATTTTTAAATAAATAAATAAATAAAATGTCCTATTTCTAAGATAATTTTATTATACCTTTATAAAAAAGGCTATACGTTGTCTACGGCGTGAATGTTTCGAATTTTACATTTTAGTAGTATGGAAAGAAAGAAGTAACATTATTTTACGAACGTTTTAATAAAATCGATTGATATACGGTATTTAAATTCATAGGGGAATTCAACGTCTTCCTTCTTTCAAAACTGCAATTTTTTATTAATATAAATTAATTAACACAGGCCCCCACGAGCCCCTAATACGTCACAGTTTTGACATTCCGCTGTGGGCAACTTTTGACCTCGCGAAATCGATACCTACGAAACAACGGTGTTTCAAGAGAACTTGAGAGTGTGTGTAATGCTGTGCCACTACACACACTCGCAAGTTCTCTTGCGAGTGTGTGTGTCTCGCGCCATGTGGCTGGGAAGGGCAGCAGCTAAAGAAGTGTTAATACCGCGAATCTAAAATTTGCTATTTTAAATACAAAGGGGCTGCAATTTACACTGAAGTTGGCACTTAAAATGACTGTCAATAAGTTTCAATGCCAAACACGACTATTTTTAGGACACATTTTTACACGTTATGACCCAATCTAAGCAACGCTTGTACTATGGGTACAAGATAACTGATAAACATACTTAAACATACTTTTCTTTTGTATAAATACATAAGTATTATACATATAAACACCCAGACACTAGAAAAACACTGTTCATCACAATATTTTTCCATTAGTGGGGATCGAACCCACACCATATGGCGCAGGAGGCAGGTACACTACCGACTACGCCATTCGGGTGCTGAGGAAGTTCGTTTCGCATTCTTTGTTTCCCTCGAGTGCCCAGGACTTTCACGTCAGAAATTAATAAATACACAATGTAGTGTACAGAAGTATATTAACTTTTAAACATCAATACAAAGCCAAATAACGGGATTTTGTATTTCTCTACGAGCAGATGCCAAATTTTATATAAAAATTGATAATCAAGTCACAGCTACTAGAAGTATAGAAATATACCTACACTTCTAGTTGTTGTTTAATAAAATAACTTTAAGCATATTTCTCAAATTACCACAATCAATCTCAATATCACTGATGGCACTATACTATATGTTCTTATAACATTCCTTGTATTTTATACAGCGTGTCGTTACCATCGCGACAATAAATGAACATACATATAGGTGATAACTTTTTTAAGTTGTATTAAACATTTAAATTCTTTAAACATCAATATTACAGAGTTATTAAAATTTCCAAAACAAAGAATTTTAGAACACCCTATAAATCTATAAACCTATAAAAGCGTAACGTAAAGTTCAGTTGTAGAGGTCACAAAGCATATGAATGGGTTGAATGAATTTAAAAGAGACAAAACATACTGTTAGGAGAGGCTTGTAAGACGACACTGTGGGGCGAGTTGTATAGGATGTTACAAATTTTGTTTCTTTTTTATTTAATTAATTTGTTTGAAAAATATTTTTTTAAATTATGGATTTTGTTTAACTTTAATATTTTTTTATGCTTATTGGCATGTAGCGTTAGAAGTGTGTTCATTTATTGTCGCGATGGTAACGACATGCTGTATATATTTTTTTTTAGTACCTACCTATAAATTAAGACTACTAAATGTGAGACTTATAAATGGCTTCTTAAGGACTTAAAATCACTTCATTATCTTTGTTAATAGCTGTTAGTTTTCCAAATAAAATAAAATACCAGAAAACATCTGTTTTTCACTAAAGCTATATATTATCATGCACCCTGGGTTGCTATTCTTCCTTTGTTTCAAATGACCAAACTTAGAAAACTCTTTGTATAAGTTTGTTAAATATAGTTATTCAATTAGTGACATTTGTGAGCTATTGGTGGACATATGTAGTTTTATAAAAATATAAATAATTTTATAAATATGTTTTACAGAGTGCAAACATGTATTTGTATAAAATATTTGAAACATTACATTTATTAATGAACAAACTACCTATGAAATATAAAATAAATATACAATTTATGAACTTCTCACTTGTCTACATTTGGATCAGTTAAAAGCACTAAGTAAATTATGACTTTTTTATGTGAAAAAGAGGCAGATCACCTAATATTAGGTGATACCCGCCACCCACGGACATTTACAACACTGGTTGCAGATGTGTTGCCACCTTTTAATGTGGGCCTCGGCTACCTCACACACCAGACGAAACCCAGAAGTGTGTCACTTTTATTGCTAACGCAGATGGACCTGCCCATTCGTGAACAACAACCATCAAGTGATGAAAGAGAAAGTTGTTATAAATGTTATTCAGCATAAATTAATGAGCATTGTTCAAATTCTGTAAAGATTTTCAATGCTTGATTCTCCAAAAATTCTATGCTGGTTCCCATTTACTTTTTATCTAAGTTTAATAAAAGAAGCAAATATTCAAAATGAAGGTAAAAAAATTAAAATAAAATAAGATAGTAAATAATTATCAATATCTCGGATTCAGACAAAGTGTAGTAAAAAAGCATACATTCAATTTAACAAAGCTATAAAAGCTTTGGAAAGCCTTGGGAACAATATTTACAGGATTTTAGCTTAATAATAATATTCAAAATGATTTTATGTGTCTTGGTTTTTTTTATTTTTAACCAATTTCAATTAAGCTTATTTATTAATTTGGTACACACAAACAGTTACATTAAATTAACTATTGATTAAAAGGGATTGTCTTAATCTTAGACATATTTCTTAAACATTACTTAGTTTAGAATACAAACTTATAGAAATAGATAAAAATAACTTTACTCCAACCAATTTTCCCATTCGAGAGGGATTGGCAATAATAGGAGCCACCTAGTTTAGTTTTGGTATAAAAGGAATCATTTTTCTTAATTATTATTTTGTATGTTATGAAATATAACAATAAAGGCAATTTTAGAAAATAATTAAAATTACAAAATATTTTAAAATTGAATAAGGTTAAACTAGAAGCAGTAATCAATACTTGAATAATTACTAATAAATTAATACTAAATAATACTGGAAAAATCATTTTGTTTTGGCAATAAATGCCTCCATTGTCTTAAATTCCTCAATGCTATAATTTAAAATTTTGTCATATCCCTGATAATGGAATCGCCCAAAAAATAATTTATTACTTAACATGTATGGAAACCAGTATCTATCATCTGGCCACATATCATCAAATGGTATCGTATCTAAATCAAACCACTTTGGTATCATTTCTTCTGTTTCTGTCGGCGTTCCTTCAAAAACGGTAGACGAGAAGACTCTTACATCCATCATCACGGAATCGCCTTCAAACGTAAACTCTAAACGGCCAATATTCTTCAAATCTGTTGTTTTAACAGACAAGTATGATTCTTCCTTCAATTCACGCACCGCGGCTTCTTTTATGGATTCGTTCGGTTCCAATTTACCGCCGAAACCGTTCCATTTATTTAGTCCAAAACCACGTTTTTTGAAGCCTAATAATATTTGTTCCTCTCTGCGTATAAATACTAATGTAAAGACTTTTTTCAGATACATGATAACGTTTTAGATAAATTAAAATATTTATTATAGGTAAAACAAAAACCACATTCATGAGTTTGTATTGTAAACAATGTCAAAATGTCAAACAATTGCGCTCTTTCGCCATACTTTTCAAGTTAAGACAACAGTTACGAGCTTTCTGCCAAAATATTTTATTATATGTAATGTATTTTTTGTAAAGTATACTACATATGAGAAATACAGAAAAACGGGTAAAAATTACTTTACAGCAATAAATAGTAAGCCCCTGAATTTAACCACGTAACTAGTTATCGATCAGACGCAAACTAGTGAACAAGTCGGTAAGGCAGCTGTATTCTCCTTAATAAAACATTAACAGTAATAAAAAAAACAATTGGCTGGATACATCATCGATAATATTAGTACAATAAATGGTCAAAAAGTAATAAATAAATGGTCAATAAAAATTTTGGAATGGGAGTTAGATAAATAGTTCGGTAGTTCACAGAGATCGGAGACATTCCTTTTTTTAAAATGGTCGCTTTAATTGAAAATAGATTTAAAGCATTCGTTGGAGAGGGCTATAAGTTGTTTTTTTAACATTTAATTAATAATTTTTAACATATTTTAACATATAAACAAATTTCATATTCAAATCCTACTAAATTAAGTCAAATTAAAAGATCATTGACTTAGCGTATAATTAATTTGTTTAATTTTATTCCATCAATATCAATAACCTTATATCCAATATCCTTTTAATAATTTAAATTTACTAGAAAAAGGACCAATCATGAAACCATACTTCTTTTTATTCCTTTTTTAGGTTACACGCTCGTATATATTTATACGAGGAAAACATTATATCTCCCCATTGGCTATAGAATGAGATTTATTCAATTCAGATCTTAAAATTTGTTAAATGTCCACACGTCACTGCTTAAGCTATCGTGCTTCATGTTTTTGTGCATTATCACTATTTAAAGGCTTTGTACTTATCACACCAGGGGGAGGATAATTAATTAGTATTTTTATTTTAAAATTTACTTTATGGCATATGGTTATGGGCTGAAGTTTTAAGTGCTGCTCTACAATAATTCGAACAAAAATATTTATTTACTTATTTATTTATTACACTTACTCACACAACTATCATTACAGGCTGACCCAATGCGATACTGTTGCCAAAAATTATATAGAAAACACTATATAAAATAGTCGAAACAAAATATAAAAAATAAAAGCTAACAATTCCATAAAACCAATTATACCCAGTAAGAATGTAATACACAAAGAAAAAAAAATCATTCTTATAATTTTATGAGTAACATATCACGTAATGGGATACTATTATAAAATCATTTCTGTGGCATGAAAACAGGTCAATTCTGTCGGCAACCTCATTAAGAGTGAGCAGTGCACGTGTGAATGGAGCCCTAGCCAGCAAGTTAGTACGCGCGCGCGGTATGGCAAGCAAGCGCGGACGCCGCCGCCTCCTAACGTAACCGTCGGACGCGTTCAGAGACAGTGCGCTGAGTGCCATTGTATTATGTACCACACCACGAAGTAATTTCCATACGTAGTCGACGAGTGCAAAGTCTCTACGAGTTTCCAGTTTACGTATCCTACCATGCCTAAAACAAATAGTGTAGGATATGACACAGGATACAATGGATGTACACCGTATAACCTCTTATATAAATACCGCGTAAATTTATTTTAAATCCTTTCTACTATTATCTTGTGTTTAACGTCATCCGGTGCCCAATACATTTTGCTTAAAGATGATAACCAAGCACATAGGAAACTGGAAACTTTTTGGGCAGATCTATGCATAGTTTGTCTAAGACGAGGCCTAGTTGCACGTTACTGATTGATCTAGCTATGATACTATGGTCAGACATACGTTTTATGTGAAAAAATAGCAAGTGAGCAGGTGCTACACCCGATTTTAAGTGGTTACTACAGCCCACTGATGTCGATTACGCCTGAGGGGCTACAAGAGTGTAGAAACTTTACTGTACACCCATTCATTGGAGAGTGGTGCTACCGTACCACTGCCTCCGTTGATTTCCTCAGCGCCGCAAATGGCAGCGGCATCAAGATTTTCGTCCAAGACAACGTACATAAAGTCACGAAAGGAATTGTAGTAGACTGTTTTTTTTTTATTTGAAAAGTTGTTAAGCGAGCAGACGGTTCACCTGAAGTTAAGTGATTACCGCCGTCCATGGACATCTGCTTCACCCGAAGGTTCCAGGTCTGTGAGGTCGTGGTACTAACCCGGACGAGCCTGCCCATTCGTGCAACAGCCGAGGCTGTTGCGTGGCCTTGAAAATACGTGTGGTTGATATGAAATGAAAACAAGGCATTGCAGTATCTACTATATAGACTATATCCTGCAATTTTATAGCTTTTGTTTAATTTATCCTTCATAAACCGGTTTGCGGTACGAATACGCGCGTTGTTTTATGACATCGTAATGTCGTTCATTTTATTATAGTTCTGGATTCTTCTCGCGTCGCTGGTGTGTTAAAGGCTAATAAAATTGGGAATGTCCCATGTAGGCATGAGATATACCTGCAACATTGTATACCTGGCCTCAAAGGTACGGGTATCGCCGTATACTCGGTGCTAAAACCCAGTATCAAAATACCTATAGGTATTAGTTATGTTCAGGCCTCCTTTTGGAGACGCGGTCGAATCAAACGAATTGAACCTTTGGTTGGAATTGGAACATTTAAATGTTTTTTTTAGCAATCAGTTTTTTTAAATTGAGATTTAATCAGTCTAAAATAAGCTCCATCTTTAATAACCTAAAGAACCCTATTATCAAATAAAAGTAATTCAATTTTTTTATTAATTAATTTAATAATCAATTAATCAATTAAATTAATTAAATTATTTATTTAACTTATGGTCATAGAAACAAAGAATAAATTTATCTCAAGGAATTATTTGGTATAAAATGCATAAATCATACGTTTCAATTCGGGCATGATCGGGAAGAGCCGCCGTAAGCGTTCGGGGAACTTCGTACCTATTCGGCCGGCGGGTTGTCGCGAGCGTATATACCGCCACCGTCGGACGAGGCGGCCATACCTATCGGGTATGGAACGGGCCTCTGCCGTACATACCCGGTGTGCGTACTGGTATGTTCATACTGGGTATTTATACCTGTTCCAGTATATACGCCTCATCCCTAGTCCCATGCGTTCGTGCGTCAACTGTCAACAGAAGCTGACGAAGGAATGATGGACGCGCAGAAATCGATTTTACGTGCGGATATAGATGTTTCACATCAAAAAAATGTTTTTCAAACAAACTAATTAAATAAAAAAGAAACAAAATTTGTAACATCCTATACAACTACACCTGACTGATTCATACATTCAGAGACTTTTTCATTCGTTGCCACAACGTCGTATTACAAGTCTTCTTCTTCTAACAGTATGTTTTATCTCTTTTAAATTCATTCAACCCAAACATATGGTTTGTGACCTTTACAAATGAACTTTACGTCGTTTGTTTTGTAAAATTTAATAACTCGGTAGATATTGATGTTTAAAGAATGTAAATGCTTAATACAATTTTAAAAAGTTATTCTCTCTATGTTTGTTCATTTATTGTCGCGATTGTAACAAAATGACATAGCAACGGAACAAGCGGTTCACTTGATGATATGTGAGGGTCGTCTTCACTACACTACGGCTGTTTCAGCCTGTACAAACACTGCCCGATTGCTGCCAAAATAGGTTTCTTGGATATAAATTTGCCAAATGCTTAAAGATGAACCTTGTTTTGATGTTTTCGTACTTTTTCTAAATGTTTTAATGTTCAATCTTAAGTGCAGAGATTAGCACTATAAAAAACTTTAAAATTTATAAAAAGCAATGGCGACATCTCTCGTGCGAATTATCGTTGTAAAACGATACTCGAAATTGTTTGTATGCTGGAAAGGATATAACAATAGATGCGCCAAGCATTGCTTCAAATGCTAAGTAACAATGTAGAAGGAAGGCGTTAAGATTTTCGTCGCAGCGGCAACAATCTTTTCGTACTTTTTCTACATGTTTTAATGAACCTTGTGTTACTTTAGTCACCCGGCGGAACGCTAATTTATAAATCCCTCTGACTCCACGTCGAATTAAATACTTTTACGCCGAAATTCTGTGAATCCATGGTAACTCGACTTTTTAGCTGGTCTATTTCTGCAGCAGGAGTTGCTACTTAAATTGTTTTAATTCTATTATACTAAAAATGTGCGACTAAGATACCTTTAAGATCTATGTGTCGCTGGTGGATGGCGTAGTGAAGAGCTTCCATTTTTTTTATCTGAAATGGAAACTAGAAGTTTTGAGTAACTTAGTAGTTATATTAGGGTGGTTTCTCTGATCATTGAATTTCTTTTCATTTGACAGCAACTTACTTTTTTTTAATCAGAATTTGTAGCAACTTACTTTGTATTCGTTCATTTTATTTTTTGCCTTTTGTTTTTTTGCCGTTTGTGAAGAATGGAGCCAATTAACTTAATCTGCCCTTGTCTTTGATTTTTCTTTAGGGTCACTTTAAAGCTTAGCAGAGTTAATCGCGATCTGTTATTATTTTTATAGCTCTCACAGATTATCTTAAGACTTTTGTTTTCTTGAACTTCAAAAGAAACATTCTAGCTCTGTTTTGGAGAAACAATTAAGAAAAATGTAAGCAACTTTTATTAAGGGCCAAATAAAATTAATTTAATAACTTTTTGTTCGATAGAAAATTTTGAGAAATTAAGGACTCAATTTAGTTGAAATTAAGTGCATATCTTTTCTGAAAATCGTTAAACTATTTAAACTTTATAAGCCATAGTCAAAATTAGGTAGTTTAAGCTATAAAAAAATCTTAAACTATTGGTTTATGTCTTAACCATTTTCAGTTTGAAATATTTCAGGCATAAGACAGACAATTGAAGAAGACAATTGTTTCTATCGTTAACTGAAAAACTTAAAAGAAACTTGAGATTTAAGAAACCTACGCTTAAATTTAATTAAAGTAACGGCCTATATACACGTCCCATTGTTGCGCAAAGGCCTCTGTACAGAGTATAAAAGCGCATAATGTACCACGCAATACCACTACGTATTGGCACACTTCACATTTTCGAAGGAAAGCGAGCGACCGGACACTAAGCTATCACGGCTCAAACTACAAACGGCTACAAACTTGATTACTTTTTAAACCATTCGTCACTCACCGAATAACAGCTCATTAACCGTTAATCAAATCAAATCAAAATATATTAATACATAGACGATTTGGACGTTCTTATGAGATGTCAAATTTTTACATAAAAATTAATACAAGTACCTACGTTTGTAAATTATCACCGGTTCGGAAAGCGGTTTCTGTTGAGAAGAAACCGGCAAGAAACTCAACAGTTGCTCTTTTTTAAAACAATAAGTTTACAATATAATAGGACAGGGATAAGTTCTATTTTAACCTACGTGAGTATCAACAGTAACAGTATATGCCTTATACAGCGTGCCTTTACCATCGCGACAATAAATGAACACACATGTAGAGGATAACTTTTTAAAATTGTATTAAAGATTTACATTCTTTAAACATCAATATTTAACGAGTTATCATATTTTTCAAAACAAAGAATTTTAGAATACGTAAGGTATAAAACTTTAATGTAAAGTTCATTTATAAAGGTCACAAAGCATAATATGAATGGGTTGAATTAATTTAAAAGAGAGAAAACATACTGTTAGAAGGAGAGGCTTGTAATGCGGCGCCGTGGCAAAGAATGAAAAAGTCTCTGAATGTATGAATCAGTCAGATGTAGTTGTAGGATGTTACAAATTTAGTTTCTTTTTTACTTAATTAGTTTGTTTGAAAAATATTTTTTTATGATTATTGGAAAGTAGCGTTAGATGTGTGTTCATTTATTATCGCGGTGGTAAAGACACGCTGTATATCTTTTTATATATAATATGTTCACTTTTAACTCTGCGTTTAAATGGCTCAAGTGGCAGACTTAATGTCGAGTTACCGACAATTAGCAAGTTATTTGCCAACGGCCGAGGCTTTGTTTAAATTGACTACGAGAGACTGTAAGATTAATTTAACGTGAATATATAATGACACCGGCACCAGTTCTCGAGTTATGGGCAAGTGACCAAATTGACAAGAAACACGTTATTTTATAATATATATATATATATAAGTTAGGTGTTGAATGCTAGTGCGTTAAAAGTCTTAATATTTAATTCAATTTGCAAGGTTGAATACATTATATCCTTAGAGGAATTTGCATGACTTCTTTGAATTTCTCTTGCTCCCTGGGTTTAGAGATAACATTTGATGTTTTTAAAGGAATTGAGCTGAAGTTTAATTGGGTAGAACATGCCCCAGGGTACAATATCATGGGAGATGTTTCGCACAAAATTCTTAATTGAACAATCTAATAAAATGTTATAATAACTGCTCCCGTAAGCTTAATGTGTGTTATTTTGTAGATATGTAATCGAATTCATCAATTTATCCTTGTTGGGGCTAATTCCTAATACCGGTTGTGATGATGTTAAGATATAAATGATAATATAATTTATTAGAACACTTTATTATGACATTTATATACAATGATAGACTATGATATTATGCTAATTTGACAAAGCGTGGTTTGCTTGATGACCGCACGTGAAATGAGTGCACGTCGCAGTATATTTTAATGACTTCTATGAATTGGTAGAGTTTAGGTGAAAATTGCTAAGAAGGCTGTTTGGTTCAGCAGTAAAATAAACAACCGTCTCTATGGGATATCTGGTTAACATCGATAAGTGTTGTTGTTTTTATTATTTATTTTTTTTAATGTGAAAAGCTGCCAAGCGAGCAGATGGTTCACCTGATGGTAAGTGAATAATTACCAGGATGAAGAAGAATTAAATACGAAGACAGACAGAATCTAGTTGCATATATTGGATGCTAATTACGTAGTGGCGTAATGGTTTCACTAACTGTTAAAGTTTTACCGCCGAGCTCTTAAGACTAACGCGTGTTCACATTAAGACTGGCATATACAAACCGTTTGTATCCCGCATAATCTTAAGAGTTGAAAAACTAGCAATTCAGTGTTTAAGTATG